GACGCCTCACGCACCCGCGCGCGCGCGCTCGCACGCGCACACACTCGCACGCGGAATCCCGTCCCTACGGATTGCAGGAAGCTAGTTCTAGTGCCTACAAGGCCGGCATTATAATCGAATTAGGCCATTAGGCGCGCGATTCTCGGGGCCCTAAAGCCTATTCATATTGTACGGCCTCGGACCCGCGCAGCGCGCTTGGGTGCTTGCGGACTTAGTGCGACGCTACGTGATTAGGTGCACAATTAACGATTAAGGTAAATGATTTACTTCGATATCACTTCGCGGATACGATGTGTTCTACTGATGTTATAATGAGTTCGTGTCTAAAATCAACAACGTAATCTAATTTCAAAAATATTTGGATCTTGTAAATTTTAATTTACCTCAGCTTTAAGATTACGGTCCAAACGTGTAAGTCCTTGACAGCAGGATAAATAATACCACCCTGCAGAGAATTATTTTCAACAATCAATATATATTTACGAGATGCATCCAACCACTTGATTGGTTGATGGAATGATTGTTTGATCGATTAATTGATGGATTGATCTTTCAATATTTTGGACAGTTACGGCATTACAACGGCATTACTCCCGAATAAGTATGCATTAATGGATCATCGTAAGGATGATACAAGCTCACGGGGTAATATAAGTTGATTTTAACGTCACAATCGCAAAACATCCATGCTTTTCATGATTTTTGAGCCCACAACTCTATCCCCGAAGAAAATCTGACGCCGCTGAAAGGCCAGCAATTCACCTAAAGGAATCCGAAACTGTCGCTACAAGGTACTTTTGCCGAATAGATATAATAAAAGAGAGTTTTTTCGGAGATTGTACGTACTTCAGTGAAGTGCTTATTGCAGTGAGATGATTTTTACAGAATCTAGGTAAAAGAAAAAATATTTTAGGCAAACTAGTGAAAATACAATATTTGTAGCGAAATTATCATACCCTGTAAATTGTTAAAAATCATTATTTAATCGGGAACGAAACATTTTTGATTAACATAAATCTGTAACAAAATTATTTTCTAATATTTCTTTAACATATTCTGCCATTACAGTTCGAAGAAGTGTTTTTATTAACATATCACCATTTATTTCAGATCTTCATGCTATCCTGCCACTGCGCTATTTCCATCACACATTCGAGTATTCCCGCAATTACTGGGAGCAAGAACTAGCACTTACAACGTATGAGGATATCATGGATGTACTGCACCATTACTCGGAGTAATGCTTGCAACGCATATAACTACTCATATCCACAATAGCTTAGCGACATTTCGCATCAGTTGTGGCAGTACGTACACGTATTCTGCAGTATCATTAAAGCTTTTTCTCAATTTCCGGATATTTTATTCTTAAATTATAGAGACATTCGAGCAACAATGGCAAAAATTATTTTAGATAATAATAACAAACTTTAAGACTTATTTAAAGAGAAATGTTTTCATTACTGTTCATACTAATTAATGTACTCTCGTTTATATTGGCCTAAATAAAAGCCGTAATATTATGATATGAGGAAGAAATGCCTATTTGACTGGAATGAAAGGTATCCACAATTATTACTTACGTAAAATGGCATTCTCAATTTAATGTGATAAAATGATTTCCATATTCGTCGTGTTCTCACGTTGCCTCTTTTTCTCATTCCACCACTTACTCCACCAGCAAGATGATTACTATCCAACACATCTCGATACGTTGGTCGCATGAACAAGGACCGAAGATTC